GGAGCCAGAATTCAATAGGATGACACTTAGCAAAGATTTCAGGCCAGCAGCTGCTAAACTACAAGCGCCCAGTAACACTACTGTGGACCTGACACTGGGTCTGGGCTCCTCGCCAACTGCACTCTGGTGTCCCCAATGGTGTGGATATTCACCTCGGGGCTCCACCTGTCCACAGGACCACTGGCCAAACAGCCAATCTTGCAGCCAGCCTACACTGTCCCCAGGCAAGCTGGGGGATCCCAGACACACCCTCCCCACCTCTGCACCACGTGTGTGTCGGATGCTTCCTCTCACTGCAACCACGGCCAGGTTCATCCGAGGGGAACGTCTGCTTTGGGATGGCTCTCCCTGGCTGGCTGATACCTACAGGGCAGCCGGGAGCGACTGGCAATGTTTTCAGGAGCTCCCTGGGTGTCAAACAGAGAGAGAACCTAGTGCGACCTCACCAGCTGCTTCCGAGAAGTCATCCAGGGTGCACTGCTAACATTTCAACCAAAGCCAGCATCAGGGTAGGCTGGTGCCTGTGTGGAAACAGGATCAGAGCAGACTGCGGGTCAGCACACCAGAGAGCCTGTCAGGTGGGCGCTGAGCTCTCCTCCAGGATCCTGAGTTCCTTTGAGGTTCTGACCCAGGGCAGATAAATGGTAAACATGGGGCTAAACGTACTCCCGGTGAATTACAGCATACATTTCACTCCTTTGGGACGATTACAGCTCCTGGGCAGAGATCAACCCGAGAATCGCACTGATGTCTGTCATTAATCAATCTGAGGCACAAGGATATGATACCCCCACTCGACCCTCTACCCAGCCAGAGATGGGTTGAGGATAAACTAAAGGATGTTTGAAGAACAGCATGGGGAATACTGTAAACTGGTTACGTATTTAACAGAATTGTGAAAATAAAATGAGTCTATCCAGGGACGCCTGGGTGGCTCAGTCAGTTAAGCATTTGCTCTTGGCTCAGGTCATGATCCCAGGGTCCTGGGATTGAGTCCCACATGGGGCTCCCTGTTCAGTGGGGAGTCTGCTTCTCCCTATGCCTGCCATTACCCCTGCTTGTGCTCTCTGACAAATAAATAAATATAATAAAATCTTAAAAAGGGGGGGCGCCTGGTGGCTCAGGCGTAAGTGTCTGCCTTCGGCTCAGGTCATGATCCCAGGACCCTGGGATCGAGCCCCGCATCAGGCTCCCTGCTCAGCAGGAAGCCTGCTTCTCCCACTCCCCCTGCGTGTGTTCCCTCTCTCGCTGTGTCTCCCCTCTCTCGCTGTGTCTCTCTCGGTCAAATAAATAAATAAAATCTTAAAAAAAAAAAAAAGTCTATCCAGAGACAGGCTAAAAGTTGGGTGAAATGCTCAAAACTAGCAAAAAAGGGGGGAAAAGTACAAATAGGATGGATGGGTGATTCCGAGCAGGAATCATGCATAAATACATAACTTGGATCGGGTGCAAATTTTAGCCCAACCTGCAGGAAGGGTCAGAGGATGGGGTGGAGAAAGGGGAGGAGAGTCTCTTGCATGGCTCATGCTCCCAACTCTTTAAGTCGACGACGCCGCCTGATGGGGATAGGGACAGTGGCTTCACCAGGAGCCCTCCAGCCTTAAGTGGGGAGGGAATCCCCTGAGGACATCCAGAACCAACGTTCCTACCTTGTTCTGCACGCGGGGGCGGTGGGAGGACCCGGGTCGGGGCGTTGCGCCGCCAGAGCCGGGCCCGCCGCCCTCACCCCCACCCCAGCACGCTCACCGGTTGCCGCCTTGGCCGCCCCTTCTCTGGCAGCTCATGACGAAGACGCTCAGCGCCACCACCTGCAGCAGCACCAGCCGGAGCCGCGGCCCCGCCAGGCCTCCGCGCAGCGCCCTCCAGCGGATGGCCCGAGGAACTGCGTTTCCGTGGAGAAGCAGTTAGAGCGGGGTGGGGGGGGAGGGGGGTCACAGGTCACTAAAATCTCAGGACGTGGTGGTGTTCAAGAGAGAGAGCGCGTGGGGGGCGTCGTCCCCGAGTTGAGACACTTTAGAAGTGTGTTTCAGTCCTGCACTAAAAGAGGCAAAGGAAGGCATTTGGCAGAGGATGGCTGTTCCCCAGTACCTTCTCCCTTTCCTCCCTTAGTATTAGAACAGCCAAATTTTAGGTGAGTACACAGTCTTCCAGAACAAAAGCTACATCTCTGAACCTCGGGCATAGCCAGTTGTGACCTCGGGATTAAGTTCTGGCCAAAGCAATATAAACCGAAGTGCTGTGTGTATGACTGATTTCCAAGAAATGTCCTTAAAGGGAGAAGTGATGATCTTTGTCAGTCCTTCCTCCTGCCGGCTGGCTGGAATGCAGATGTGATGATCCAAGGAACCAGCAGCCACATTACACCACGCAGTGGAAGCTACACACTGAGGATGGTTAAGTAACACAATTCTATGCAAAGTAAACTGGTCCCTGACGTTAAGGGTGCTCTGCCCATCCTGTGTGGTCTACTTCTGGATCTCTCTTTTTTTTTTAAAGATTTTATTTATTTATTTGACAGAGAGAGCGAGAGAGCAGAAGCAGGGAGAACAGTAGAGGGAGAGAGAGAAGCAGGCTCCCCGCCAAACAGGGAGCCCGATGCGGGGCTTGATCCCAGGACCCTGAGATCATGACCTGAGCCGAAGGCAGACGCTTAACGACTGAGCCACCCAGGCGCCCCCTGGATCTCTTTTACATAAGAGAGAAATGGATTTCCATTATATTTCATTCATGCCATTATTGTTTGGTTTTCTGTCTCACATAACTGAACTGAATCCTAACCAATAAACAGAGGAGATAAAAATCCTCTTTGCTGGCAGAAGTGGGGCAAGGATGTAACAGAAGTAGTGGTCTCTTGTATTAACAAAGTTTTAGGAGAAGCTCAAGGTAAAAAGAGGACTGTTCCTGAAATTTTTTTTTAAATTTTTTTTTAAAGATTTTATTTATTTATTTGAGAGAGAGAATGAGATAGAGAGCATGAGAGGGGGGAGGGTCAGAGAGAGAAGCAGACTCCCTGCTGAGCAGGGAGCCCGACATGGGACTCGATCCCGGGACTCCAGGATCATGACCTGAGCCGAAGGCAGTCGCTTAACCAACTGAGCCACCCAGGCGCCCTGTTCCTGATATTTCTATCCATTTTTAAGAAGAGGCTCAAATCCTTGACCGTCTCCCTTTGTAACCAGAGGGGGTCCCTTTTAGTTCTTGTGCCTGCTGACTGCCCACAGCACCTTCTTCTGATCCACACAGTCTCAGGAGGTCAGTTTGGACTGACTGTGGGGACACCTAGTCCAGCATGGCTCCTCATGTGATCCTCAGACCACCCTCATGAGACTACCTTAACGACTTGCTAAAACTGCAGACTTTAAGGACTCCACCCAACACCAGATGGATCAGTCCCTCCAGTGGTCCCCATGATTCTGACAGACACTCAAGTCCAATCCACCATTTTACTTGTGGGGAAACTGAGGCCCAGGAAAGGAGTGGAAATCTCCAGAAGTCTGACAGCAGAGCTCTAGGCAAGAACCCAGTAATCAGGTCCTCCAGTCCAGGGTTTACTCCAATGCCATGTGAATCCTCTGTCCTGGCTCTCTCAGGTGGTCCCTTGCTAATTTAAAGACTGTCTGAGATGGGACACGATCTGCACAGTCTCCTCCATCCTCACAATCCTGGGACAAATTGCAGGCTGAGGATACACCTGTGGCCCCTCAGCACATCTCTCAGATTTGCTTGCAGCTGCAGAGCCCTGGCCGCATCTACTAAGCAGGAACAGGACCTGCCTGCCCTCGGACTCCATGCACACTTGCAGATTCATCTGTCTGGACATTCAACTGACCCCTCCCTGAGCCAGGGCCTGGGGAAGCACATCAGGGGCTCTCCAAAAGCAGGACACCCTCCTGGAATCCCAACCTATGTCCTACCAGACCTGCTGCCCTTCCTCCCATTTCCCCGTGCAGCCCTGCCCTGCCCTCCCCGTGCCTGGGGGATGGGAAGGATGGTGTTTTCATAAATGGCTGCATCTCTTCCTGCCCCAGATTCTCAAGCATCCTTGGATGCCTCTTCCCCCTCCCTCTCCTGCTGGCTGAACTTCCATAGCCCACCCCCGTCCCTGGAAGGAATAAAGCTCTGACTGACTTTAGAACACTGCACGACCTGTTTTGCCCTTACCTCCCATGGATACCCCACAGGTATGGCCCCCACTGATGCCACGCCCAAGCAGGCGGGAACTACCTTTGTCCTTGCTCTCAACTCCAGCCCCTGCACACACATCTGAGCACCTTTTCGCTTGGCGAAATCCATTTATTCCCACCCAGCTGAATATAGGGTCTTTTTCCCTGGGAGATTCCAGCCCATCCTGGATGCCCCGTCCTTGACTCAAAGGCAGGTCCAGTCTGAGGTCAGCATTGACCTCTCCAAGGAGGTCTCTGCTGGGCCAGCTCCTACAACATGCCTTGTCCTTTCACCTTCTAAGCCATGTAAGGTATCACTAGTTCATAACTACCTGGGCTATAAGCTATCTCTATCCTCCCTAGGAGCTCATGATTTAAAAAGTCAGGTGAGGCACCTGCGTGGTACAGCCCATTCGGGAAAGTGACAAGGAGACAAGGCCCCATCACTACCAGGGCCTTTTACGGGCCCCAAATCCCTACCGCTTCAGGCCCGGAGCAGTTCACTCAGTTTGTTTTCATCATTCTAATAATTCATAATGACCACGCTCAGAAACCTGCCTCAAGTCCTTCTCTCCCGCAGTAACACCGACTGTCCATTTTTCTGTCCCCTACCCAAACCCACAAGCCTTATGCCTGCTCTTGAGGGAGTGGTACTGGGGAAGTGGTCTGATCAGTGGGGAGCTCTCAACCAGTGGGGCCAGGACATTGACAGGAGGATGCAGGAAACCTCGGTGTTCACGCGGGGTAATTTGGGGTGCCTGAAGAGCGAAGGGCGGAAAGCGGAAATGGTGAGAAGAGACTGTGTGAGGTTAATCTCAGCACGCCCAAACCCCATACCGGTCTCCGAGGCCCGAAGCGGCTCCCTTTGGCGCCATCTGGCGGTCATCGCGCGCGAGCGGATAGTGGACGCTGCGCGGGTCCCCGGGCCTGCGGGGGCCGGTTCCCGCGAGGCGGATGGGCTGGGGGGCGCCCAGCTTGGAGAGCCGGGACCGCGCGGCCCGGTGCGGGGAACGTCTCTGGATTCGGACGGACCTCATGAACCCCGCCAGGCCCCGAGAAGACCCGGGGACGCCAGCCCTTAGCCGTAGCAGACCCGCGGCCGCAGGCCGGGGCGCTGCGGGGCGCTGAGCGCCCGAGTCAACGTGCGCGCGCCCGCGCGCCCCACGCAGCATCCCGCACCGCCGCGTGCGCGCACGCACGCCCCAACGCTTGCCCGCGCCGGCCGGTCTCCCACGCAGCGAGCGGGCAGTGGGCGCCCGAGCCCACTGTTCGGGAGTGGAAGGCCTTTCCGAGGGGCGCACTCCTGCAGGCACACCGCTGCACGCTTTTTCCACCCTCACCTCGGGCGTGGGGACGCCGCCGCGGCCACACTGTTCCCATGGGTGATCCCCTGGAGGGGGGGTCATGGGGGTCCGTGCGGCCCAGGCCCCTCCGAGCAGCCTGGGGGCTGCCGGGCCAGGCCGCTCCCACCTGCCGGCCGCGGCGGCCAATGAAAGCTTGGTCTGGTGATGTCATGCCCCGACCGGACCCTGGTGACGAAAGTCCCAGGTCACCCGTCAGGGAACCAGTGCAAACCCACCCGCGGGGGTTCCGGAAGTTTCCACTGCGGCAGCAGAGTGCGGCCTCGCCCCGCAGCCTTGCGCGTGCCACCACGTTTTGCCTTCTGGGGTGTCCCCGAGTCACCTCTCCCTTGCCCCGGGGGTCTTCTTCCGTGGGCCCCCCCCTTCATTTCCACTCGTGATCTCATGTTCTCACCTTCATTCCCACAGGTGTGCCCTCATCCCCCAGGAGTGTCCCACGTCACCTTTTCTTCGCCAGTACCACCCGGACCCCTAAGGGGGTCCTCAGCCACACTTTCACGTGCCAGTCCTCCCATGCCACCCCTGCTGTGTCCTGGCCAAGGATGTTCAATTTATTCGGCCCCCAGTCCTGACTGAGGCCGTCAGTGTGTCCGTCCGTCTGTGAATGTCGGTCACCGTTTGTCTGGAGCTGTCACTGCCTGCGACTGTCCGTCTGCGTGTCTGTCTCCGCGGCTTCTGTCCGTCTGTCACTGGATGTCTGCTCCGCCGCTGCGGGTCTTTCGGTCGCGTCACCATGTGTCTGTCCGTCTGTCGGCGTCTGTCACTGGAGTCCGTCCGGGCCCCGGGGGTCTCTGGGTCTCGGCTCCGAGGGAGGGAGAGGGAGGGGAGGTGGCAGCCCGGGGAGGCGGGGAGGGGCG